ATGACAAAATGAAAAATGGTATGAGAAGGATTTGCTGCTTAAATGAGTCAAAAGCTGTGTGGATGCTTAAAGTGGTGAGACATACTGGGAATTGTGTTTGTGTATTTAGTGATGCTCCAGAATGACCCGAGTGGGTATGGCTTACATTTAAATGAAAATCAAGGTAAATGGAAAGGGAGGAAAAAATGTACTCTTTTTTTTGGGGTTGCATTCTGCCTTCAGAAAGGTGCTGAGACTCTGGAGAAATCCCTGAGGCCAGGTACATAATTTCCTCGCTCTACCTTGGGTTCTAGCAGAGCTGCTCCGGGCTGCTCTCCAGCACGATGGGGAATTTACAGGGCATCACAGTCTTGCATCTGGCCCTCCTACAGCCCTTATGGGCATTAATTTTGACCATAAGTTAAAAAAAATACCAACATTCTGTTGGATGTTTTTCACTTCTCTTTTCCTTCTGTTACCCCTTCTTGTCCTGTCTTTCTCCTGTTTTCAGCTGTCACACTATTTCTTTACAACTAAAAAAATACCTGTCTGCCTATGGGTTGCAAGAAAGGGCTTGCTAATATTCACTTCTTTTGTTGTTTCCAATGCATAAAAATCTTTTCTGTCATGTTGGAATTAGGTAGAAGAAAAAAGAGATTTTCTTCAGTGGGATAAAGCTAGCATGAAGAGATGTTCAAAGCAGAGCTGTTTTGGGCCGTAATCATTATTATGCTATTGAAAGAGAATAAATACAGCAGCCTAAGGCAAGCACGTAGTTCTGACTTTCATTAAATTTCTGGAAAAAAGGAATAGGGAAAAAAAGGTATTAACTAAACAGTTGCACTGAGAAACAAGTTATCAAAGAGCCCATTTCTCTCCCCTCTCTCAGCTGAGACTGGCCATTTGGCTGTTTGTCTTGTTCATTAGCAGGTCTGCACCTCGCTCTGCCTGGCTGAGAGGGCTTGGGGCCACCGTGGGACCTGGGGGGACCTTGTAGAGGCAGAGTTTTCTTGGGGTGCAGCCTGTTTGAGTAGCTCAGCACCACGGGAACTGGGAACCCGGCTGCCTTTTCTAAAGCTTACTCCCAGAGACTGGAGCTTAGGTGACTACATCCAATGCAGGAGCGGGGCCAGCCGGACTGTCACATCCTGTGCCCCCATGGTTGCTCACCCAAACATGAATTCTGCTGAGATGACGAGTCCTTGCAGCAAGAGCAAGTGGGGGTGCACAGGTTTGCAAAGTGTGCTTGTCAGGCTGGGCTACTGAACGGCCATCCCAGCCCACACCGAGCTGAGCGGAGGGGGTGCAGGACCCATAGTGGGATGTGTGCTTGGGAGGGAGCATCTGATGAAGGTGATGACACATCTGGTTGTGATAAACCCTAGAGGAAAGGAGACCATGAAGCAGTGCCCTTATGATAAGGACTGGGAAGGTGTGGCTCCTCCTGACCCAGGCTGCTACAGCACTCACTGAGCGGTCATCACTGGCCCTAGGAGCAGGTCTCCAGCCCTGCCAAGCCCGTTGAGGAGCCTGCACCCATGGACCTCTGTGCTAGTCCTGCGCTTGCCAGTGTGCAGAAGTCAGAATGGTACCATTCTTTTATTTTCTAAGCTTTTCAGCCAGACTCTTTGTTTCCTTCCTCCCAGGTGCATCATACCTTTACAAGCAATCAATAGGAGGAGTGCCATGCCCTCCTCTGCCTCAGGAGCTCTCTAAACACCTGCTGACTTGATTTTCACCATCTCCAAATTTGGCTTTTTTTCAGTGCCCCTCGTGAAGAGCCTGCAAATCTGCTGTTGCTGCAGCAGGATGAAACACTCCATCACAGACTTCTTAATTATTTTTTTAAGTTAGAAAAACATCTTTCTTTAGCATTCACGTACAGATTAAGAAGTTGACACACAGCTATTCACTGGTTTACTTATTAGCTCTGCATGCCAAATTAATGGCTGCACATCAGGTCTTGGGATATCCATCCTCCTCTGGTTTATTTTCACCCACCTCCCCCTATCTGGCAATGCGGCATGCTCTATTATACAGTACTTGGGCTTTCAAAAAATGCAGGCTCTTATGCCTTGGGACTGTGAATGCTCCTCGGCGGGGAGTTTTGCCTTGCTCTCTGCTGGTGTCTTGAGATGCTTAATCCTTTGAGGGTTTCTTAGGTGCTGCTGTGTTTCAGAGCTGTATATTATTAATGCTAAGCAGCTGCTGGCTGATTGATTGAGTCCCCACTGATTCTTTGTGCAGCTTTGGCAAGGGGGGAGCTGACTTTGAGGGGTGAGGCTGCAGGCTGTGGGCACAGGCAGGGGGAATATGCATCCCCACAGTAATCCCAAGAGTCCTTGTGTCTGAGATATACCCCTGTTGGAGAGTTTTCTCCCATGTCCTTCTTACATCATGATCGCCAAGGGACCACTTAGTCTTGACCATGGCACCCTCTGGCTCCCTCAGGTCACCTTCCCCTCTTGATCACGCACATCCCAGGTCTGGTGGGTCCTTCTAGCCTAAGAGCCATGACTGTCTGGCGAGGAACAAGCTGAAAGATTTCCCTGGCCGCAAATGTGGTTCAGGCTACTACAGCCTGTGTAGCCCTAACCACTCAATGGCCAGAACACTTGCAAGAAACCCCAACCAAAAATGGCATCAAAGAGTTAGGGCTTCATCAAAACCACCAGAAGATGATCACATGACTAATACAAGTTCAACCAATTTCTGTTTCCATGCAGGTGGATGTATTTAAATGTAGGCGAAGTAGCTCTGTAACATTGGTTTGTTTGTGGACTCTGCCTAAAAAATATAGAAGAAAGAGACATTTTATTTGCAGTGTTGATTTAGGAAAGCAAGGCATCTGAGAGTTTGAAGAACATTTTGTAGGTGGTAGCAAAAATGAAAATACGAAAACACAAGACACACTTTGAGAACTAAATATTCCCTCTGCAAATGTGTTTTGTTTGTTTTCTATTTGCTTCTCATTCTTTTCAAACATTAGCACACATTTAAGCACATATCAATACGATAAGCCAGACAGACCAACTCGTATCTGCGGTGAGACCAGCTGATATCTGCAATGAGGCCAAAATACCACAGAAAGCGATGTTATCTTAGTGTTTGTGCTTTAGCTTAGGTGCTTGTGCATTCTGTCTGACTCTGTCTGTATCTGTCCATTGCTTACACAGTCTAGTTGTTGTATTATATTTTGCTTCATCCTGCTTTGATGATCCAGACATTTTAATAAGGCAGGAAGGGATCACTTGAAAAGTTTTCAAAAGATTTTGCTACTTGCATTGCTGCTGAAGGGGCACCATGGTGTGGCGAGGCACCACTCAGCTTGTGTTTCAGCAAGGTCTTTTTAAGGATCTTCAAGGTTAATTTTGAAGTTTTATCTGTATCGGTAACATCTGATCCCTGTGAAATAGCAGCTGAAATCTATTACTTAAAAAAAAAAAAAAAAAGAAAAGAAAAAAGAAAAGGAAAGGAAAGTCATCTTTAGCCAGGAGTTGTGTGTGGTGCGTATGTGTGCATTTACGTAACAAACAGGAGCTGTTTACAACGTGCTCAAGGTCCTCTTCTGTTCTGTTTACTAGTTGGATTTTTCACAGGAACCTTTTTCGTGGCAGGTCTCAGCAGCAAGCCATACCGTTAAGAACAGCACACTTGTAAAACCACAAGTTAAACAGAGTGGGAAGCAGCATTTTCCAGTAGCAGTGGAAGCCATGCCCCAGCTCCGGGTCGGATCACCAGCTACCCCAACCACCCTGTGTTGCTCCCAGTGCTGAAAGCAGCTGGTGGCTGGTGCAGGTCCCCAGCTCCATTGGTTTTATAGCCAACCTGTGGCATGAGCACATGGCCACACTGAGGTCTCTGGCTCGTTACTGAGCAGCAGGAGAAGCTGAACCACACTCAGATTATCACCTTTTCTCTATCACTTTCCTCACAACCGGTGAAGGAAGGGGCACCAGGGTGTGGTGAGGCACCGCTCAGCTTGTGTTTCAGCAAACGCAGGATGCTGGTCCTACCTTGAGCCTGGCCATGAATCGGACATCTGGAGAGACTTGCAGCTGAAAATACTCCTAGTAAAACTGTATTTGAAAGCAAAACTTCAAGCAGAGTAAAGCTGCAAGCACAGACAGCCACCGAAATAGCTATGGTAGGTAGTGGCCCGCCACATTCCACGGGAAAGGCAGGGCCTTCAGCCTTGCTGGCACAGCCACACTACTTCAGAGCTTGATTTTATTGCATCTAGGGGCTGCCAGGCTGCTCTTGCCCCCTGGCTACGTCCTGTTTTCTTTGCATTTGCCAACAGTGCAAGTAATGCCAGAGGCTGACGGGGCAGCTGGCACCAAATGTGCTACACTGGCTTTTCATCTCTAATTACCCGCTTACAGTAGGCTGTCTAGCTGTTAAATTCTCTATCTGTCATGAACATGTCTGAGTATAGTCACTCATGGTCCTTGTGCTGTCCTTGGTTCTTTCTTTGTGGGGCAAAAATTCTGCCTAGGATGAGAAGATATCTATGTTTCAGGGATTTGAATTTCTTCTTTCTTGTACTCATTTATGTTGATGACGGCTGGGCACACAGAGCTGGGAGCTGAGGTTGTGGGTGCTGTTCCTGCAGTACTGCAAAGGTGTATTCATGTTTGGAAGGGAGAAAAAGAGAAAGGTTTTACAGTGTTTCCCAAGGATGCTTTGAATCTTGGCTTTTTTAAATCTCTCCTGGAAATTCATGCTGCAGCTGGAAACTCTCTGCTTAAGATCCTTTTAGATCTCAAAAAATAAAAAAGGTATGATTATACAATACCATGACATGCAGATCCACAAATACTAATCTAACTGAAAGTGTACCTGCAGGATATTTGCCTTTGACTGAACCAGACATAAAGGCAGACATCATGCTAGCCCTCTTTCTGATCTGTGTAATAGCATCTAGCTGGTGCAGTATGTCCTGTACATGGGCATTGCTCATGGCCAGGAGACTCTCTGGGCTTTGCTGTGGGTGATCCTTGCTCTCTTTTCCTTACTAGGTCCATGGGAAATGCATGTGCAAGCACAACACAGCAGGGTCCCACTGCCAGCACTGCGCCCCACTCTACAATGACCAGCCTTGGCAGGCTGCCGACGGCAAAACCGGAGCCCCCAAAGAGTGTCAGTGTAAGTAGCCAGCCAGGAACAGTGTCTCCAGAGCCTCTGCCAGAGTGAAACACCTCCTCCTTGTGTGCCTTTCTCCTGCGTTTCCAAGAGGCAGCAGATACTGAGGTGGTGGGTAGGCGCTTGAGAAGCAGCTTAGCAAGTGGAGAGCCAATGCTGTGCTCCTGCCCAGCACCCACCGCAGGTTTGTATGGCAGCAATGGGCCTGTGTGCCCAGCCCCTCACTTGGAAATCCTCACAAACCCTGTTGTCTGTTCATTTGGCCTTTCTGTGGGACCCAAGTACAGCTCCTTGACATACGGTCTTGTGCAGCAGGCAGACTGCAGCCTGCCACGGTGCCTTGGAGGTGATGGGGGACCAGCTTTGTCCCTTCAGTGGGCACCACTGACGAGCATGTTTACAGGAGATAAGCCTTCTGCTGCTGGACATGGGCTGTGCTCACCCCCTGGGCACTGGGGTCAGGAGGAGCTGCGGGCTCCGAGGAGATTTGAGGATTACTTCTGCAGCACTGGGGAGGGATGCTCGGCATGAGAGCAGGCTGCAGGGGACTGCAGAGGCCACAGGGCAATCTGCTTCAGTTAACAGCAGCCGTCTAGCCAGAAAGGGGCTGGGGATTAACTGCAGCACCCCAGAAAGGTTTGCAGGCATGCTGAGTGCCATCCTGCTGAGGCTATGACGCTATCAATACTTAAGCTAGCATCAGCCTGCCTGTGTGGCCTGCGGTCACACCTGCAGCAGTATGGATGTTCCCCAAGGGAATGACAGTGAATCCCTGCTTCCACCAGCAACATTTGATGAGCAGGGGTTGAAACAGATCACAGAATCATAGAATGGTTTGGGTGGGAAGGGACCTTAAAGATCATCTAGTTCCAACCCCCTGCCATGAGCACAGACACCTTCCACTAGATCAGGTTGCTCAAAGCAGCATCCATCCTGGCCTTGAATGCTTCCAGGGAAGGGGCAACACTTCCATGGAGGGGGAAAGATCGCACTTGGCCGCTGACTTCAGGCGTGCAGGCATCCAGGCTTGTTCCACTGCCAGCACAGGGAAAGGAGGATGCTCGGCCTCTCTCACACGTCTCTCCTCTACCCGCCTTTTCCCTCCGTCAGATGCAAGGAGCATCCTTACAGCGCCTGCCTGGCAGATGCTATATGGGACACTGGTGATTGCTAAAGCAGGGAGGGAAGGATCCTGCCCCAGCAGGACCAGTGAATGTTTGAGGTCTCCTTGTGCCCACCTGACCATGTTGCTGCCATTGTACTGGAAATAAAAGAGTTAAATAAATTATTTTTTCTTAAATGTCACATTTAGACATTGGGAAGTGTGGATGAAAATGTGATGATACTTCATACATTTGAATGAATATTAGGTCAGGTCTCCTATTCCAAAACATGGTTTGGTTTTTTGTGTCTGTTTTCTATAAATCAGCTTCTTTCACTGCCTTAATGAGTCTTTCTGTTCCCTTGGTCTTTGTCTTAGCGTGCAAGTGTAATGGGCATGCTGACACTTGTCATTTTGACATGGATGCGTGGCTGGCATCAGGCAATCGCAGCGGCGGCGTCTGCGACAACTGTCAGCACAACACGGAAGGGCAGCACTGCCAACGCTGCAAGCCGGGCTTCTACCGGGACCTCAGGAGGCCGTTCTCTGCCCCAGATGCCTGCAAACGTAAGTCAGTGACCTCTTACTAGTAAAGTGCCTCCCAAGCAGGGGGGTCTCGAAGGAATGGTGAGATCTCCTGCCCCTCCTTGAAGCAATCTTGCTTCAGTGGAGGACAGGGAACTCTTTGAATTCCCTTTTTGATGCTGTTTGCAAAAAGCAATGGTGCAGTTTTCAGGGCAAAAGCCTGCAGATGCTGTTGACAAATGTATCCCAAGCATCCCTGTAGCTTGAGGGCAGGGGAAGAGATATGATTCATTGACTTTCTCTTGCTATTTTTGGAGAGCAAAAGCTGCATCATGTTTGCAAGTTCTCCTTGTTTGGTGATTGCTGCAACCTCAGAAATGGGGTGCTTCAGCCAACAGGCCTGCAGCTGATAAACAGCATCACCCACCAGTGTGTGTGCACAGCAGTAACAGGTGGGCATGGAGGGAGAAATGGGAACACAAGTTAAGTGATATTCCAGAATACGTGACACCAAGGAGGCCAGGCCAAAGGCAATGACTTGGCCACATGTGAAATTAAATATTTCCCAAGCAAAAGCAGTGATTCAAAAGCCACGTTCCTCAGGGACTGCTGTGAGGATGGTGACTCACCATGAGGGACTCTGGATCCCCAAACCACGCTGAGCACATTACACTGGTCAGCTAAATACAGGATGCAGGCATGCTCTCCACGCTGCGCCTACATCCACTCACCAGCTTCACCAAATTTCTCTTCACTGACCCAAATCTGGAGGAGGACCTTCATGGGTGTCAGAAAAAACTCCAAGTGACTGCCTGCTCGTGTCATTTGAGGGGACACTGAGCATATCTCTCTCCTCCAAAGGAGAAATACCTGCATTTAAAGGAAGATAAACCCTTCTGGGGTGGGGAGCTGCACCCCAGGCTGGGACAGTGTGTGCGGTTTCACTTTTGTCTGTGGGGTTGGATTTGGGAACAACCACTTTTATCCCACTCCCTTGCTGTTCATCATCCTCATGAGACTTCTGGCTGTCCCACCAGCCTGTCACAGAAGTCCTCCTCCTCTCCACCTTTCACTTGTTGCAAGGAAGAGCAGCAACAGCTGAACTGCCTGTTTTACAACACTAATTCTCTTTATGAAATTGGCCACAGTTCTCCATTACTTGTGTAAATAATTACTTCACTGCTGTAGTATGTACACAAATTTGTTTTTTTAAATAGTGAATTTAATGACTTTTTAAAGTTCCTTTACCTATTTGTGTACATCAAAGTTCCAAATCTCCTCCTCTGAAACATTAGATACTTTCCCTCTGTAATTATTGACAGAACTTAGGCAACGAACTTTTGCTTTGGAGTCTCTTTAGTAAAAAAACAGGTTTAAATCTTGCACTTAGACCCAAAGCAGGGGTTTGAGGATTTTTTCCTAACTCATGGGTTCTGCCTTGATGATTAAAAACCAAAACAAAATAAAACACAAACAATTGGATTAATTGAATCTTGGTTGATAATGCAGGACAAAAGACTAAAATAAATTCTGTATGAGACCCTCAAGCTCCTAAATGAGCTTTTACTGGGGTTGTGCTGCCTTCACTGGGTTTGTAATTCCTCCTGCTCTTTACGTGCCAGCTCGCATCAGGGAAGAGCATGCACTTTTCCGAGGCCATTGAAGCCAAGTCAGCCTTTGGCACTGATTTGAATGCAGTCTCCTGGACACCTAAAAATAACACTCTTCACCTTGGAGGTTGTAGGACTGGCCACCATCTCCTGTGACATCTGATGCAGCCCATCAAGGAGATGGAGTTTCACAAGGGACCCATTGTAGGGTTTTCCTGGTGCCAAAACGCCCGGTTCAAATCCTGTGGCTGTTTGGAGAGTCTGAGAGGAAGTCAGATGGCACCTCCTGGGCTGGCCAGCACAGAGCCTCCTTCCTTGTAAAACCAGATGGAAACAGAGGTCTTGGGACCTGCAAAACAGCCACGCCTCAAAGGGAGGGCTGCCAACAGTGTGCGTGTGCCTGTGTGCAAGTTAGACCAGCACTAATGAAGTCAGGCATTACATCACATCATTAGCTATATGTTAGCCAAATCCCAGGGCACTCGAGTAAAAAGTTTCTCTCAGCCCTTTTGGGCAGGAGGAGGCTATGGAGCTGAGATGATTAATGGGTATTTTTTGTTGACATACGCCGATGCTCGGTCCTCTTCTCTTTCTGCATTCATCTCTAAATCACTGGCCTGTGGCATTCCACTTTCCGCATTTTTTCCCCCAGAAAAAGTGTGTCTGACATAAAGACTATAAATTTGTTTCCGTTACTCTTTATTGCAACAGTCCAGCGTCTTTATAGATCACTATGTATTCATGAACTCTGGTATTTAAAGGACAAAGGTAAAATACATTTGACAAGAACTGTAAGATAGCCTTGAGTACAGTGAGAAAAAGTCTTCATTTATTTACCTTCTGCATTATGTACATCTACTTTGTTACTCTTTTTTTGGGGGGGGGTATTTATGAATTACAGAGCATTACTCGAGCATCTCAGGGAGACAACTTTCCCTGGCGTAAACAGGGTTCCACAAAAATGTGGGGATTATCTGAATGCTTTCCTTTCAGAGACCTTATTGCTGCAAACACGCAGATTATTTTTCTCTGGGCTTTCCAAACCCTTCCAAGTACTCTCCTCCCTAAGATCCCTTCACCATTTCCCTTCTGGTCTCCTGCTGCCGGGGCTCCTCCCTGCACCCAGGGACCCGGCATCTCATGGGGCAGCCCAGCAGCTTGCAGGGCCGTAGCAAATGACTAATGACTGTTAAATTAAATTATAGAAGACCAATTACAGCCTATGCCTGGCCCATTTCCAAAGGCCGTGCCATGGTCTGCAATAACAAGGGATGTGCGTGGTGCCCTGTTAGTCTTTCCGGGAAGGCCACAGCGTTGCCTGCTTGCTTCTGGCTTCAAGACACCGTTATTGCTCAACCCCGGGGTAGCACTGAAAATTTAAAAATACCAAGGTCAAAGTAAATAAAGGAGTTGTTAAGCCGTAATCTTTAAGGATACTTTAAAGATTCTTGTAGGCGAAGAGCGTATATAATATTTGCTCAGAAGTAGGTGTGTACCTGATAAAGTGAGACGTTCTACCATTTAAAACAGCAATCTGATGCCTTTTCCCCCCTGCCATACCTATCGGTCCTTTCATTTATGTCCCTCACAAATTTTTAAGCCTCAGCTACAGTATAATTGCAGACAATAAATCGGGTTTTATAATTGCCAAGTTTATTTTTGCTGTTCTACTGTAGATTTTTGAGGGTAAATATTTGTCACTTCCAAAGGTTAGCTGGCAGCTAAAGAAACCACAACAGTATCACCAATCCAAGGCGGGGAAATCCAGCTCCGCCAGAGTCCCACTCACTGGGTTTTGATCCCAATCAGCACATGTAAGGCTGGGACAGGCGGCTGTTAATTCATATGTGTGTGTAAGTCACGTGCAAGATACTGCTGTGTAGTACAAGGTGGTAAATTGGCATTTTAACAATGCTGCTTACAAATGGAAAAGAAAGCAAAAAGGTTAAACTTGTGGAAGGTTTCTCTTGGTCCCAGGCTAGTCGAGCCCAGCCAGCCCTTCTCTCACTAGAGCCCCTTGGCCATGGAAACCCCTAGCCTCCCTGGTGGGGTGGCCACGGCACATGATACCAGCACTGTCCTGAGGCCATGCACTGAGAACCTCATGCTCTGCGCCTGAGTATCCACCACAGTGTCCACCCAGCACTGTCTGTAGGTGCTTTCTCTGCTGCTCAGCTGCTCCTCTCAGCTTCCTGGAGGTGGGTCCCCTACTACCTGTGCTACAGTGAGGTACAGATTGTGTGGAAGGAGGAAAACGGAGTTTAAAACTGACACTGAACACAGCACCCCATGAGGGAGCAGTAGCTGCAGCTGCCAAATGTTGTATAAACAGTCCTGAAGTCCTTTTCCTCCTGCCATTGCCACAGTATGGAAGCACTTGGTCCTGTTTTCATGCATTTCTTTCAAAGTCGGTACAATGCGCTCACATTTGAGCTCTAGAGTCTCATTTCTGTACTTGGTGTGAAGTGATGGATGGGCTGCACTTTATGTCTCTGCATTGCTCAGCACATTCCCACTGTAGCACGTTACAAATGTTTGCCGTGTTGGAAATATGCCACCCATAGCATCCAGATTAATGCCATTTAGTGTCATCTTGGGCCTCCACCCAGGATGCAAGACCAAAATTCTCTGGCCGCTAATGGAAAGCAGGTCAGTGCCTTGGTAACTCATAGGGGAGCAGCCAGGAAGGATGGGGTCCATGCAGGTGGGTACGCAGCCTTTACAACACATCTCTTTGCAGCTTTTATTAAAAAGTATAGCCAATTACATTCTCATTTTTAATTGCCTACAAGCTTTCTGCTGTATTTTTCGTAACAGCCTTTGTAAATTTAATATTCTTGCCTCACCATGGTGTTGCCACTGCCATTAAATTTTCCATTTGGAAAAAATTGTGCTAAAACATTGTCTAAAACATGAAAAGCTCCAACCCCAATAGGGCTGGGTGTAAAACTCAGCTGAAACCTGACCAAAACAGGACCAAATCTCTCTCTGAGCAGTGGGTTTAGCTCACTGACTGCAGGAGAATAGAAGAGCTTTAAGTGCTTGATGTTTTCCCTGAAGGGGCTGAGGAATGCCAGAAATACCCCACATCTAGTAGGAAAAGAGCATTTGGCTACATGTGTCAGGTGTAAAACACTTCACAGACTTCAGGAGAAAGGTATGTGAGTCTCGATGAGTGCTGTTGAAAACTATGCTATTAAAGGTACCAGAGTTCACTGCCTGCAGCTAGTTATGCAGTTTGTGGAGAGGCTTTCTAATCTTTTAATTTTATATAATTATATTTGTTTGGGAATGGAAAGGGTGGGGAAAATATGGAGATTACTTTGTCAAAGATTTTGGAATTGTAATCGCCTCTTAAGTTAACTGCCAATATTAATCTAGCCTTTAATATTTTGAAATGACACTCCAGGTATGTCAAATCCCTGAAACCGCAAAAATGTTGTCAGAGCAAAATCAAATATATGTGCACAGCGATAAGTATTTTAAGAGAAAGAAAGGTTGTGTTGCATGCAGTGGCTTTTCTGCTTTATTGCCTTCACAGTTGAAAAAAAAAATGAAACAAAACACAACAAAATTTGTATTAGAATTTGGAGAAAATTTTCCCTCCAAATGAAATTTTCTCAGTAAATCTAGTTTTTATGTAAACAGAGTTTTAGGCAAAAGTCTTTCAGCAGGGAATTTTTTGCCATAATGCACAAGGCTGACTGTAACACATCCTGGTCAGAGAACCAAACCCTGAGGGAAGGACAGCATGAGTCACCTGGCTACTGGTCCTGCACTGTGCTGCCTGCTGATGTGCCAAACGGCCAGAGGTTTGGCTCACACTTTTGATAACCGTATTTCTGATCATTTAAAAGATTAACATCTCTGGAGGAAAAATGATTGTAGTCTTGCAACAGACACAAATTACATTTATACAAAAGAAAAATCCTAGAATAGGCAAGGAAAACTTCACACCACCGATCTTAGGGCATCCTTTCTGATTTGTGAGAATGGCCATTTCTCCCAGTGTGTCCCAGTGTGCTCCCAGTGCATCCTTCTGCTGAAAGGGGCTGTGGGGGAGGAAAAAAAGAGCAGCCAGTGTTTCTGACATGCACTCTGCAAACCCGTGTCCCAAGTATATGTAAAAGCATATCTCTGAGCCATCGGTGTCCTCATTCTTTTTTTTTTTTTTTTTTAATGTTTTGAAATGATGGCTTTAAAAGAAAAGCAGAGACTGAGGGGTCCTTTTTGCTCAGCCTCCACTTTAATTAGAATGACCATTCTGTGGGTTTTTTCAACCTCCTGGATGCAAGACAGTTGTTATTACTTTAGAAAGCAATTATGCTCTGATTCATTTTTGCAATGAAGCACCCACAGCTGCTTAAACATCACTGTGAGCCAGGCACATCCCTGGGTACTTGGCTGGACTGGACTCCAAATGCTATAAGGAAAGTAATAAAGGCCTGTTTGGCAAAACATAATGTGAAACCAGGGTAGGCTGACTAATTAAATAGCTCACAACAGTTGAAGTCATATGGTTTCTGAAAGGAGATTCTGGTCAGACTTACTTGGATGAGAGGACAAAAAAGACCATCACTGTCCCTAGGCAGAGCAGTGAGTTCAAAGGCATCTCCTGCGCCTTTGTCCCACAGAGCTTTTGCACTCACAGATGCTCTCTCTTCCCCCACTGTGTCCCCTGCAGCTTGCTCCTGCCACCCCCTGGGATCAGCCACACTCCCCCTGGGCCCTCACACCTTCTGCGACCCCAGCACCGGTGACTGCCCCTGCAAGCCCGGCGTGGCGGGGCCCCGCTGCGACCACTGCCTCCCCGGTTACTGGGGCTTCGGTGCCTACGGCTGCCGCCCCTGCGACTGCGCCCGCAGCTGCGACCCCCGCACCGGTGACTGCCTTAGCAGCAGGTAAGTTGAGGTGTCTTGGTCACTCCTCCCAGCCTCAGCAGTCCCCCCACAATCTCCATCCCAGGGAAGGCACTGCTCTGACCTGATTTATGCATTGCACACAGTCTGAAAAATATCTGTTGTATAAAATACTTGGGGTTTGGTATGGTCAGGAATTGAGGATGGAGCGGGAGCTGAGGCTGCAGTTCATTTGGGTGCCTGGCACACTATGGCAGGGCACTGGTGAGGCTGGATTATTGGCTCTCAGTGCTGGTGTTAATGCATGGGGTATTTTCCATAACCTTCACTGTTGCTTCCTCTCCATGAGCAAAATGTGACCCTTGGGAAGATCTGAGAGAGAGGGGACCACAGAGTTAATATTGTTGCTGTTACAACTCAGCTTGCATTGAATGCGCTGGACTTAGAGTCAGGCTCTGACTTTTAGAAGACAGCACATTTTAATAATATCCCACTCTCCAGATCTTATATGTTGCTTTTCTTTACCATACTGGGGATGTTTATAGCATATAAATCCCTATAATGCATTTTGAACCCAAAATGGATTCATGACCCACTCTGACAATACTTAGCCTGTTCACTTTCCAAAACTGCCCTTTGCATTTAACACTAGCAAGACATGCAGTTACGTTGTGCCTGGAGGACGGGTTGGTAGTGGCCCTGCTTTACACCAGCTCCAGGAGGAAGGCTGACCATCTCCCCTTTCCCTCCAACAGCTCGGACGTGACCTGGCATCATGAAGCACCTCCTTTCCAGGCGGTGCTCAATGACAGCGAGCCCACCTGGGGCTGGGAGGACGAGCAGGGCTTCTCGGCACTCCGGCACTCAGGTAGGACTGTGGCTTCACACGTTCCCCTGCCCCATCCCTCCTGCCAGCAGCCAGCATGGATATAGTCTTCTGCACTGGCTTGTAATTAGCGCAGAATTAGTGCAGTGACCCGGCGGTTGCAGGAGGGGATGGACCTTCCCCCGTTAATGTCCTGTGCAACCACCTTCTTCCCCAACACAAGCTGGAGGAGCCTTATGACTCATCCCATCAATGTGAGGACATGCAAACCCGTTAGGCAGATCACAGAATCACAGAACTGCCTAGACTGGAAAAGATCTTTAAGATCATCGATTCCAATCATTAACCTCACACTGACAATTCCCAGACTAAACCATGTCCCTGAGGACTATGTCAAGATGACTCTTAAATACCTCCAGGGATGAGGACTCCACCACTGCCCTGGTCAACCCATTCCAATGCCTGATAGCCCTTTCAGTAAAGAAATTCTTCCTAATATCCAATCTGAACTTCCCTTGGCACAACTTGAGGCCTTTCCTCTTGTCCTATCAGATGCTCCACACTGAAAGCCTGCACGCAGCATTTAGCTGTTGGTAAGGCAATAGTTGCTTGAATTTCCAGCCCCAGCTCCAAATTTCAAGGTTGAACATTCTCTTTGTTTTGTCTATCATGTTTTAAATGTATCTTTGTATCCACTAGAGCTACTACATGTTGGACAAACCAGCAACATTATTTAGAGGGTGGATTTTGCCACTTCATGTGCAGGGAATTGGAAATTTCCAAATAAAAGTGTATTTCCCTGATACCCACAATAATTGTGGCACCAGTTGCAGCTTACGATGCAATTCAAGATTGCCTAGCATTTCAGCTATGGCTTCAGCTGGGCAAGTTATTTCCCACCCAGTCTGGAGGAGGCGAGTGTTGTGTGAGGTTGCTGTGAGGCAGTTTGTCCCTGCAGCACAGTGTCAAGCTGTCCTCCCTTGCAATCGCTGCATGCAAGCAGGCAAGCGTCATTTCCTGCATTTTCAGAAAGCAGCATGATAAAATCTTGAAGATACAATAATTGAGTTAATTGAGGGGAAAGCTCCATCATTTGTCTGGGCAACTTCATTTTAAAGGTAAATAAGTATATCACGTTATTCTTGTTCTAAGATCACGGAAGTCATTAATCTGCCTTAACCTCTGCAACATTTCCTTTTAAAATTTTGTCTGGTACATTACGGTGTGGAAAATACCACGGGGAGAGACATGCGTGTTATTTGAATCCCAAGGCAAAAGAATAAGGCCTTTGTTTCCCTTCTCTTCAAAATGTAAACAAGGAATAATTGCCCTTGGACTAAGATTGTATATTCAGCCTGGATCTGAAAATAGGGCTTTTTTTGCGTGGGGCTTCTGGACCACATGAAAACCTTTGGCAGGTCCCAGGCTCTGCCCATGAAGGATCCCATCTTTAAAGTACAATCCACAACCGTTTGCTTCCTTCTCTTTCCCCAGGTAAATGCGAATGTAAAGAGCAAGTTTTAGGGAATTCCAAGGTCTTCTGTGGGATGAAGTACACCTACGGTGAGTTTTGGGTGAGGTGGCAGGGGTGTAAAGGGAGGTGCCGCGAGGCAGTACAAGAGTGTAAAGCATGAGAGGTGCTGCTGTGTGCAACGCTCCATCTCTGCAAACCCATGGGCTGCTTAGTCTGGGGGCAGATCTTTGACCTTTCTAAAATGTATAGATATGGTGCCAAGTCAAGGTGGGTGAAGCATCTTGCTCTGTTACCCACCTCTCTTTCTACTAAAATACTTTTGTGCCAAAAGCCTGGGAGGACAAGAGCTGGAAGGGTGCCCAAGAGGTTGTCTAGGTCCAAGACAGACTGGAAATCACTGTCACCAAAAATGGGTCACTAAAATTCTCTTTGTAGACCAGGTGTCCCAAGAACGGTCTAGAAATCAATAAATCTGAATTACATTGAATATAAGGAGGAGCAGTGATCAACACACAAGCCATCACATGGAGAAAACTGCTCTGGCAGCTACTGGGAGCTTCCCCCCGTCAATAAAGTTCAAAACTCATTGCTGTTGCAATGGAGTGATATATATTATCTATGTGTCTATTGGATTTACATGAATGAGAGAAGCACTTTTTTTCCCAAGACCTCTCTGGTGTGTGACAGTGAACTGCCTCCTTCATACCGCAGCAGAGCAAGGAATGCTCTGTGTAGCACTCCCTTCCTTCACAGTCTTTCAGGGGTCTCTTGCACCTGTTTCATCTCGCACTGAAGCTGAAAATGCACGGCGAGATAACCCCAACCTCTGCAGGCTGTGGAGCAACGTACAAAGGGAAGTTCAAGGGGCCGCCAGCTGTTGAAATATAGTCCTGGCTTAGCAATGTTAGGAAAAAATCTGATTCTGCTTTGCCTTGCTCCCTGGCCGCGATAGTGACCGTGTTTAATCTTGCGAAAGATAAGAAATAAAAAAAAAAGTAACAAAAACCCTAAGTTCATAAATCTTATCTAAAGTGCACTCAGGCTTCCCACCCTTTCATCACTCAACATGCAAAGGTATCAGCTAAACTGAAGAGACAGATGAATTATGGGGTTCACAATCAGCTTCAGGAGGCCATACAGTAGGAGGAGAGGTTTTCCTCAGCTTCCTAACATGCAGAGCTGAATGAAGCACCACCATACAGTGACACCTACCAGTGCAGCTATCAGCATGGTCAGGGGAGGCTTGTGCGTGGGACCTGAGCCCTCAGCCTCCACCGCGCAGGGGCTCAGCAAGTGGGATACCAGGTGGCAGGAGTGTGCCTGTAGGTGTCTGTGAGCTCTAAATACTCCGCAGTTTGCCTCAGTCCCTACCAATTTCTTAGTCTCCATCATTGCATTTGGATTTGGTGGTTCTGCAAAGCAAGACGACCAACAGCAGAAGTGCTCACCAGGGTGGGGACAGCCCTTCACGACCCTGCCTGCTGCCTGGCCTGCCTGGGCCAAGGCTGGCAAAGCCTCCAGGTCCATCTCTAAAATAAAGGCTTGCTGCTTGATTTCCAAAAGTGCTAAGGAAGCCTCAGTCTTTGCTGAGCTGCAGGGGAAAATGGTGCCCTCACAAGTTTTGAAAAATCAGGTATTGGACCTCTCCTGCTGCCCACGTGGCATGTCCAGGAGCCATGGCCAAATCAACCAGCAGCGTTCCTGCCCATGGGTGTGGGGATGTATGTGCTCCCCCAGCAGCTGTGCTGACCCTGGGCTCCCCAGCAAGGAGCATCAGGCTAACTCCACTGTAACAAAGTGATTGTCCTCACTGCTTCACCCAGTCACCTGCCTTAGACAAAAAAAGACAAACAAAACAGACTATTGTAAATATTTTATGTATTCCTGGGTTTGAATTTGTGTCTTCCCAGTAATCAAGACAAAGATCTTGTCAGCTCATGACAAAGGCTCCCATGCAGAAGTCAGTGTGAAGATCAAGAAAGTTTTGAAATCTACAAAGCTGAAGATCCTTCGGGGCAAGAGGACACTCTACCCTGAATCCTGGACTAACAGAGGCTGCACTTGTCCCATCCTCAATCCCGGTAGGTTTGATTCCCAGAGGATTACATCTCCACCATGTTTACATAGATTTCATTCCCACCCCTCTGTCCCCTCAAGCCAATGAGCTGATATTGCAGCCCAGTGTTGATTAAACTATTGGCTATTACATCATTTAAATTCCAACAGCAATCTCCTTCAAATTTGAATTTTGTGGAGAAAAACTTGGTTCAATCTATAGACTTTCAGACATAAAGTTCTCTTTATGAAGTATAATTAACAGTCTTACAGCTTTACCAGTCTAAGTCTGTTCCCAGGGGGAGGGAGGTGTGCCTATCACACCACAACTACATGACGTATTTTTTCAAAACTAACACTAATTTGAATCCACAAAAACGCATTTAAATCTGAGTCATGATATTGTACTGAAGTTCGAATCTAAACTCAAGGGCAGACATCTCTTTGAAAGTAACACTATTTTGCATCTACAAGATTTGGAAGAGATTCTCTAATGCAGTGAGAAGGCAGCTGTGGCTTCACAATTTTTTCTCATTTTCTTTCACTGAAATGGAGTATAACCAGTGATGGCTAAACAGTGCATGTAGTCTCTGCCACAGACAAGGAGATGCAGACTCAGGCTTTTCTTCAACAGAGCAAAACTAAGCTCCAACTAACAAACCTTTCTTTACAACTCTGAGATAAACCAACAGGTACCAACTAATTCAGATAAAGGGCTTTCTTTTGTGAGGCGCACACTTGGAAATCACCGATCGAAATGTCGATGTCAGTGCTGAGACATCCTTCACGCACGCAGCATTAGGAACTTCCTTTGGGAGGAAAGGGCTGTTTGCAAGGCTGGATCATGCAGGAAGGTTATTAATTGATGAGGTGTTTGCAGTCTTCTTTCATCTCCACCGGAGTGACCATCTTTGGCTTTGAAGGCAAGCTGCCGTAGTCAGGAAGTCTTGTCAGGTGCCAGGGTCACATGAATCAGCAGTGTTAGGCAGAACTTTATGGTTTAAGCGCAGTAAGACTTTGGCTATTGGTAAAACATCATAAATCTCTAATTAAATAGATACAGCTGGTTTATTTTTCCATATGCAAAGAAAACTCAAGCAAGAGAGCCCAGATGCAGCTGCCTTAATATGAACCTGGAAGAACACCATGAAAGCTGTCAGACATCGAGCGTGCAGGGCAGCCCCGCATCTGACACCCAGCTTTGTGACCCCACTAACTTCAGGGGAGCTTCACTGATTTTCCCCAGCAGAGGAAAAGACAGCGATAATTACAGAACTGATGAAGATCACTTGGATATCAGTGAAAGGGTGGAGGTGCAGTTGTTTTTAGGGACAAGGCAGGCATTTGACACATCCTGAGGTGTTACCGCCTTGCCAGCTCTCATTATTTACCCTGCAAAGTTGGGTATTGTCTTGAAATGCAGCTGCTGGTGTGCCATGAATATAAATTGATCTCAGCTTTCATGTTGGAAAGAAGTTGTGAAGTTTGGTCCTAATGGGAAACTTGAAAACATCAACTGAGTGCATCTTTAAGAATCAATAATTTCAAAGTGAAAAAAAAAAATTCCCAGATATTTTTAAAAATTTCATTATTTTCTTCAGCTACCACATTCATTTCTGAATGGTTGGCAATGCTATATTAGCAGATTTAACCCTCTCTCAGAGTAAGAGCTTATGACCTCCAGATGAATAAACCAAAACCAACCAGATAAAAAGCCAAGCTGACATAAAACAATATCCTGACACATAGCTATAATGGAAATGACATCTCCCAAAAACATAGAGGAGATCAAATATAAAAATAAAAGAAGATAAGACATATTTTTATTCTGTTTCACTACGCTAAAGGGATACCAAAAGGAGGGTAGTTTCTTAAAGGTTCTGGCAAGAAATAAAAACTCCAAGCATTTATGAAATCTCCATGGGCTGCTTTCAGGTGATAAATGTGCTTAAGTTTCTGTGAGGGGATATTCACTACCCTTGCACACCTTCCCCTCCACACATAACCACAGAGGCAGGCTGGACTTCTGGGGGGACACTGAGCTGAAAGGTTTAAAGGTCTCAACCATCTGCAAGGGAACAGGAGCCCCTTCCCCTCCTTGGCTCTGCCAAGCATGGACACAAACAAGCAGAGAGCTGCCTGCCAGCAGTGCAGGGCAAAACACACAGCCTCAAGTCCTGACTTGCAGCATCTCAGTTATTTGATTCATTTTAATTTTACACTTCTGTAACATCAGGTTGAAAATCAAGAAGGCCCTACTGAATCAGCAACCACGGCAATGCTTGCTCTCTGAGGGTGCATGCCACATTTCTCTCTCAAGGGAGAAAAGTTTAGGAGCCCTTGAAAACTGATGTTTACAACAGCAGGATTGACATGGCCAAAACTAATGTCTTGCAAAGGGTGATACTGCCATACACATATCCTGTGTTTACTTGCCAGAAGAGAGGATGTGTGTGCCCAAAAACTCGGATGAAGTAGATAACAAATTGTATTGAATTAAACAAAAACATACTTGACCTTTGACTAGGGGACACTGTCCCTTTATTCTGAACTACAAAATGAAAACACAAGAAAACATGAGGAGACTCCCTGCTGTGGCCAGGATGGAGCAGGGCAACTGAGGGCACTGGGGGAGACTCATCTCCCCCGGGCTGGTGTGTATCGCCACATGGTGCTCCTCAGACCAGTGTTAGGGGGAGGGGGCATGGGGTGGGGGGCTCTCACGCTTGCTGGTACCCCAAGCATGCTGCAGCAGGATGCTGGCCCCAGGCTCCTCCTGCCACAGGAGGGATTATCCTCCTTCTTACTCCATTTATGGCACGTTCATGTCCCATTTAGGCTGTAGGGATCCATGGCAGTGTTTCTTTAGCTAATTCGACCCAAAGGGCTGTCCTGCGCTGTCATTGCTGGAATGTGCTGAACCAACCGATTTCCAGGCCCAGGTATATTCAGAGAGGGTTGAGGCAGGTGGCTGCCACATAAAGGTAATAGCAGTTCACAAACAATGTACAAAAGCTTGTAGTGCAGTCCCCAGACCTCAGCTTCCATTTCTATTTAGAAGCCAACAAAATCAAAGTTTGTATGCTGCATGTCACTGACAGATGTGCCAGAGAGGTCATTTTTTTCCTTACATACAGATAGAGGTATAGATATACAGACATATGAGAGAATCAATACGTGTAAATATTTCTTTGTATAAGTGCTTTTTCATACAGGACTGGATTTCCAGACTGACTTTGCAGTGTCAATAGGCCTCTTGAGCGTAGTGCTGTGCTATCCCTGACCGCTTTGCTGGTTTGCAGGCTTGGAGTACCTCGTGGCAGGACACGAGGATGTCCGAACAGGCAGACTCATCGTCAACATGAAAAGTTTTGTCCATCAGTGGAAGTCGGCTCTCGGAAGAAAGGTCCTGGAGATTTTGAAAAGAGACTGCAACTAGAGGTGCATGACTGCCTAAGGGCATTTTTTTATGCACAAAACACAACAGCCTTCACAGAGAGAAGACCTCTAGGATGAAAACTGGAATGTAAGAAAATAGTGCCAAAATGTGTAGCGAGGCGTTCAGAGTTGTAGGCGCTGTCTGATTTAACCCTTCCTGGCCAATGTTCATTCACTTGCCTTTAGCTTCCTTGCCAGGTGCTTGCCTGAGCCCAGCTCATCATTATGTTGAGGAAAACAAAAGGAAGGGTGGATGCTTATCTTGCTCCAGTGCAATGCTGGAGCAACTTGTATGAAGCCACTGATCACCCTGGACTAAATTACCACCCTAGAGAGGGAAAGTGTACCCGTGAGCTATGGCTGAGAAGCAAAACACTGCTGCCAGTGACACCAGCACGGATCCTGAGTGACTTCAAGAGGCTCCCAGAGGATGATGTGGGGAAGGCAATGGCCACAGCAGTGACCAGGCGCTGGCAGCAGTGTGGCAGCAACAACTGCTCTTTTAAAACACCCCGTCAGATTAGGACACAGCACCTGTCAAAGAGAATCGAGCACCATGTGCTTTTAACTTGGTCACCTTGCTGAAGGTTTTGGGGGCTACATTTTCTGCCAGTGCAGGTGAGGATGGAGCTGCTGGAGTGAATTGATCTCTCTGCCCTGGCAGAAGCATGATGCAGGGCAGTGGCCAGCTCTCCACCCACCGCACAGCCGCAGAGAAGAGCCGACTCTGGAAGGTGCAGCACCTCTAAGCTTTTGTCCTTGAAGTGTTAAAAAAATGAACCTAGCCCTACTGTAAATATTTCCTTGTATAAAGCACTTTACTACCTGCCACTTCACGGTGCAGGAAGTCTAATTGTGTTGGGGAAAGAAGAGGTTGAAGGTGACACATGAAAAAAATTTCCTGAAACAGAAGCACTCCTGAAGACCCCTCCAGTTGGATGGCATTAATGGTATAAAGGGAACGGCCAGCCTGGCAGTGGCCACTCAGAGTATCCAAGGATACAATCTGAAAGATAAAGTATTTGCACTGAAGTCCCAGCTTCAGACCAGCACTTGGACCCCATGGGCAGGACTCCAGCGAGACGTCGCAAGTAGCCTGAGAAGAAGAAGAGACTTGAGACAAGAAATGCAATTGCCAGAGGAGAAAAACTCTGTCTGCAGGAAAAAGAGTGGATGCAGAGAACGGAAAGGACTCGCATTCGCATATCACAACCCAGCAATTCATGGTGGGCCTGGAGTTTATTTTATTTTTATGTTAGTATTTAAAACTGAACATTTTATTTGTTTTCTTCTGTGTTATTGTTTGCAATATATACGGCCATTATACTTCCCCATTAATAGCAGTATGGAATATAGTACAGTTTACTGCAGTTTTCAGCGCTAAAATATATCTTTGTTGTAAAGCATCTTTAAACCACATTGCATAAAGTGTATTTTGTTCATGAGTGTGGAGGGAAAGAAAAGGAAGACATACAACACCAGAAAAGTCATGAGTCTACCAATCTGCTTTACGTATGTATTTTTCTTTCAAGGTCCTGTGGACTCACACAAAAAAAAAGGATACTATTTTGGTAATTTGTTTTTATATCTCATGTATGTAATAAAAATAATATGTTCTAAACATCTTCATCTCCTGTGACTGCTTACACCACTGGCAATTCAGTCTTCGTGCCTGCACTAGAGAGCACAGCGAAGATGGAGCTTGGTAGGGAGAAGCTGCCATGAGGGATATTTTCCTCTCTGGGGGATAATATTCACCATGTGGTAAAAAGCCAAGTAGCATGGATGGGTCACAGAAATCCTATTTCACCTCTATTTTGGGAAGGTTTATAAGCTCTTCTCGTAAGGGGAACTGTACCTAAATATTTTCAAAGCTGGCCAGATCCTTGCATCCACACAGGCCTGATGGCTGAGCTGCAGAGGAGCTACCCGTAAAAAGCAAGCCAAGGATGGTGAAAATCAGGCTCACTCCCTACGTTTGAAACATTTGAAACCATGAAGGGAGGAAAAAAAGGCTGTGGGAAACAAGCACTGTGGCAAAAGGTCTATAAAAACACCGCAGAGTGAAGTCAAGCATCAGAAATGAGCAGCCAGGGGGTCGAGGCGTGACCCGCAGCGTGGGCAGCAGCTCCTTGGCGGGCGGTTAATCAGTGACTGCCAGGGCACCACACTGCGGCAGCACCCATCTCCCTGGCAGCTGGAGGAGACAGCAGGGAAAGACTTCTCCTGTGGCGACAGTCGGAGACGAGGAGCCTCCAGTATCTCTGTTTTGATTTAAAACTTTGCAGTTTTACCCGCTTGACATATTTTTAGCTTAATTTTATTTTAATGCCATTAAAACTGCATTTGCAATGGCTGGTTGAGTAGTGTACCACCATGGAAGCTGGAGGGTGTGAGTGGAGAGGCCCACAGTCCCAGCCGGCTCAAGCACCACAGGGAACCAGGATGGCTCCAGTACCAGACACTGCTTACAGCATCTTGTCTGACCCTCATCCTAACCATGGGTCTAGGCACTGATGGTTTTATGTAGGTAAGGGATTAGCTTCCATAGGGCAAATCTGCCCTTGAGAGATTTCTGTGAGGGGATTTTGGCTGGAAGGAGAAATGTCCCTTTACCTCCTGGTGAGAGGAAAGCAGAGGTGGGTGTTGGGGTTTTGGGGACCAAAGTGGTGGCAGCGGCACCAGGAGCTGTAGCTGCAGCAGCTGCTGGCTGTGGGGCAACTGGGCAGCCCATGGACCCCAGCAGCACATCCCCCACCTCCCAGGAGGTGCTACTGATGGGGGCCTCCTCCACCTTTGGCATCTCCCACACCAAGCCCTGGAGGGCTGCAGAAAAGGTGTCCCCTCCTGCCACGGCAAGAGCCAGGAGAAGGCTTGAGGCTGTGCCAGCTGCACGTGTGTGGGTCCCATCCTGCCAGCCATCGCTCACCCAAGAGGAACGTGATCTTCCAGTCACAGTGGAAAATTACAAGCATGTTTAATATAGTTGCTCCAGTGGGCTAAATCTTCTGGGATATGACCATGTTGCCACAAATGACTGAACATCTGGTACTACCGGCCTGCCTAAATGGAAAGCTGGGCAACAAATAGCTGCAGTGTTGAGTTTTTGGGAGGTTTTTTTTAATCTTTATTTTTAGTTATCATATTGACTTCAGTATCAACACTGGATAGAATAAACATCTCAAAAATGTCCGGAGGCTGCTGCCCCAGCATCCAGAGGAGCCCTCTCTCCGATAAGGCAGGAGATTGGCTGCCTGTGGGCTTTCTGGGCTGATGTGTTGATTTTTCGATGATGGTGTTTCCAAAGCATGCCTTTGCCCAGGGGTCACAGCTTCTTGCTGCTCTTTTCCCACAGTTGAGCACAGAAACATCATGGATGCCTTTTATTGCTTCGAGAGAAGGCAAGGCTCGCAGGCTGGGAAATATGCTATATATGGGAAGCTTGTTGGCGTATTGAAAATGCTAGCCTGGCCAAGAGGCTAACGTGCCGCAGCAGTGATAGGAGAGCTGCTCTGTGTGCCCAGCCCAGCTCCAGGCTGTGCCCATCTCCTCACCTCTCCGTCACTCTGGTGGCTCCTTTGGAGCAAAAATAATGCTGGGCTGTTCACAGACATCATGTGCTCATGGGTGCGATACACTCATGGCTGTGATGTGCTCACAGGTGGGATGTGCTCATGTATATGCTTAAGCCCCACCAATGCATGTAGGCCAGGGAAGATTTTGTCATGCCCAAGTCCAGTTCCCCACAATGTGATCTGCAGTTCAAGACATCTCCAAGCTCTACCTAGACACTTTCTCAGCAGCAGAAGATGAGTAAAAGAAGTTTATCAGGCTGCTGTGAGGTCTGGGAGCTGTAGGTGTGGGTGCGGATGCGTGCATGTGCATCCCCACGGAACTGCTCACTGCTTTGTTTCCCAACTGTTTTTCTCTGTTCACATCTCTGAGCTCCCCATGACCAGGAGGAGTGCTCACACTGTCAGCATTTCTTTCTTTGGCCTCTTCTCTTGATCTTATGCATAGAAGTCATATATACTTACTGAGCACAGGACCTGGATTTTAAGCCATCTGGAAAATAGGGCTGCCAAAAGGCCCTTGGATCTGTATGAAAATTGCTGAGAAGAAGAAAAGTTCTAAATGTTCCTAAAGCAAATATTAGTGAAGTTTTCCTAAACTGACTTGCTGTGGACATGGATACGTACTCCTTTCAGCAGATGCAAAATGCAGTCCAGCTCCATGCTCAGGACACAGGCTGAGGTACTGAAACACAGGAAAAACAGATCAAAACCAAGCAACCACCCATTAGGCTGGCATGAACCTGGAGTCAAGAACATTCATCACTGTATTTCCCATGCGGGATTTACATACATCATTGCTACCTGGTTCAGTCAGAGATGTTTCTAACATTATAACCTTAAAATATATAGCTGTAAAAAAGTGCAGATGCTCTCTGTCTCTGATCTTCATAGGAGCTGGTTCTCTCCTTTGTTTGCATCAGGTGCAACTTGTGTCTGAACCTTGAGCACTTGTGGAGCCTCCGAGTGGTCAAATATGCTGCATCATCTCTACTTGGGCTTTATCTGAATAACACCTGTAGGAGATAGGGAAACATAACTTCAGGTTCACAAACAGGGACTGGAGATTTGCCCCACCTAACGTGAGGTATTGGTGGCAGGTGGCAGTTGTGCAATGATCCTCTGCTCCCTGCAGGGTTACAGAAGAGACCTGGGAGCACCCAAGGGGACCATTACAGCTGCCCAACTGCCCTGCAGGGGCAGATCAGGGGGCTGGAAGATGCACAGGTACTTTTGTGGCTCAAAGATGATTGCCAAGATTCTCTTGCCAGAAGAGCAGGGGGGTAAACCTACTCTCCATAGGGGTAGGGAAATTAAACAGAGCAGAGGCCCCAGCCGGGGCACCAGCAGCATTCTTTCCTGCCTCTGCAGCTGTGGGCAGATACAGGATGAGGTTCTGCAGTAGTGGGAGACAAGGAAGCCTGAGCCA